GCCCGCTGCACTGGTTATCGCAAATGACATGGCCAAAGCCCAAGCCTATCGATTACGAATTAGCACGTGAAGAGGGTTGCGGCAGAGAGTGGTAGTGAAGGGAATGCATCATGGCGGCGCCGTACCTTTGCGACAGACGACGTTGGAATAAAAAGGGACCCTTGGGCTAAGAATTCACATTGGCCGTCGTCATTGCCGATCGGCTAGCTGCTGAGGGCGGTGATACTTACAAGTGCTAGGAGCATCGTCTCAAGATGCACAACAATCTGGGTGAGAAGGATGCAGAGGCAAGAGAGGACAAGCCGGCTTGCTCTGACAGTCCTCTGGACAACTGTTCACTATTCTGCAACCTTTTGGCTGGGCGGCCAAACGCTGCTGGCTTTTGGCTCAAACGCGGAGAATGACATAACCGACGCTAGTTCAGCCCTATCGCCTAAACCCGTGGCTGGCCCCGAACTTCTTTTCGAGAGACGCCCCCACGAGCTTCCAATCACCTTCCCCGCCGTGGGACAGTCAGTCAGTCAAGATGAGCATGCATCCGGCGCGTCAGGCCTATGTCGAGGAGGAGAATGGTGTGGTATGTGTTCTGTAAATTGTCTCTGGATACCAGGCAGCAAGCTTCACATGTTGCGCAGCTACTCCAGGAGGGTATATACAGCTTCTGTAAATACAAGAGCTAACGTGAGTGTCTAGGGCGATGCCATGGAGGGGATAGACCTTGCCAGTGTCCGTAAGTATCTGGGCGCAATTCATACTTGCAATGCCAGAATGCTAACGTGCCCAGCGCTCGACCGCAACCATGCCATGCCCGGTGGAGGAAACGCGTCGGCTTCTTCGCTCATGGAGGATTTTGATCGCAAGCGACGAGCCGCCCAGTTAGTTGTGCCCACAGCCGACCGCGATGTCAAAGCAAAGCTGCGTTCGCGCGGAGAGCCAATAACCCTGTTCGGCGAGGGACCTGCTGAGCGCCGTGATCGACTTCGCGCTTTGCTTGCAGAGGCACAGGAAGCATTGGGCGAGGATGCAGCAGACGTAGACATGCAAGATGCAGAAGAGGGGGCTGGGGACGAGCAAGAGGAATTCTACACGCAGGGCACACAGGCACTTCTGGATGCGCGACGGGAAATGGCCAAGTATTCACTGCCACGAGCCAAAGAACGAATCGCATATCAGCGTCGCGAGGCTACTATACCGCTCAAGACGCATATTGAGTTCCGGAATGGCATCAAGGAGCGACTGAAGGGCTTTGAACTCTACGGATCGCAAACAGCAGATCGACCAGTGAGCATTGTACGCGTTTCGCCAAATGGGCAGTACGTCGCATACGGCACCTGGGGCGGCAAGGTGGCACTGCTTGAGATCCCCAGTCTTGAGCAGAAGAAAGCATACCGGGGTGGACATGCGGAACGGGCGACAGGAATAGACTGGATGCCGGACGCAACCCTGCCTGGTAGCACTGTATCGAGTTCAAGCGTAAACTTTGCCTCTGGAGGAGCAGGTGGAAAGGTTCAGCTATGGTCGCTTGATGACGACAAACCTCTGCGTACGCTCGAAGGACACACTGACCGTGTTTGTCGGTTAGCGTTTCATCCTACAGGGCGATACCTAGCGTCAGCTTCTGATGATACCACATGGCGGCTCTGGGACGTGAACACGGGTCAAGAGCTCCTTATGCAAGAGGGGCATTCAAAGGAGGTCTATACTGTCAGTTTCAACGGCGATGGTTCATTGGTTGCAAGTGCCGGTCTGGACAGCATTGGTCGTGTGTGGGATGTTCGGACAGGTCGAGTCATCTACATGCTGGAAAGTCATATCAAGCCCATCTACGGATTGGACTGGGCCATAGATGGCCACCGGCTACTTTCTGGATCAGGAGATGGATTTATGAAATGCTGGGACGTTCGTGCGATGAGAGAGACCAACTCGATTGCAGCCAACACAGGAGGAGTCACTGATCTACGATGGTTCAAGGGGACTGATGGTCCGACGAGCGGCATACCGCTGCAAGAAGATGAGCAAGGGCAAGTGATTCCGAAGAAGGCGTCGACTTTTGTCATTTCGTCTGGATTTGATAAGAATGTTCAAATCTTCTCAGCGGACGATTGGGCGCACTGCAAGACTCTGCAAGGACACTCTGGGCCCGTGTTTAGTACAGATGTCACAAGGGACGCATGCTGGATCGTGAGTGGAGGCAAAGATCGCACCGTGAAGCTGTGGTCTCGGGATGATAATGGGGGAATCTGAGGTTGAGGCGGGGGAGAAGCAAATAATTCAGTCACATGCACGGTAGGCTGCCTGCAGATGCAGATGCAAGCTGACCAAGAAGCAAAGATGGAGAGTGTAGAAGAAGCAAAGAAGAAGAGTTCACATGAACAAGAGGGAAAAAAGAAGCAGACAAAAGTCAGTGCTTTGGTTGATATCACTTGTCAGGCGGGAGTTGAGCAGCGAAAAAGAAGGTCCATAGCTTGAACCGAGATACCCAGTACATACTCCGATGGCGCGTGGAGTTTTTCAAAATTCAAAGCATCTACAATCTTACCCCACGGTCTCATCGGTGCAAAAGGTATCCCTTCATTTCAGACTGTACTCTGCACCAAGTACCGGTGTGTTTCAATATACTTCATCTCAATGAGTCACATTCCCTCCCATCCCTCTCTACCCTCAATTTCCCTCCCCCTCCCCTCCCTCTAAAGCCAAAGCCCAAATAAAAAAAAATGGCCCGACTCATGAATCCAAAAACCCGGCACTCATCCCATTAGCTCGGTACCACTCCCCCCCCCCCCCCAATATCTTACATCCGAGCCTAAGTAAAAACAAGCGTAGAGACAGACTGACGGGGCAACCGGCACCATTATTCCAGAATACACGTTTTTGGGGGGTGACGCATAGACCTTCTGTCTCTCTCTCCCTCTGCGTGCACATGTATGCTTCGTGCTCCGTGCTCCCAGCCCAAGCCCAGCCCCCATGCCTTTGTTCCATAACTATCCGCATGGCAAAAGCGCCGTATACCGTAGTTAGAGTATGTAAGGAAAAAAAAATGGGTAACATTGCACATACCACCCCCCCCCCCCAAACAAAGTCATTAGCCTGTAGTTATGACGTTTTGACAGACACCCCGTCCTTCTTCTGCTTCTAGCTCACGCATTACATATGCATACCCATAATTCTCAAACACACCATCGCCTTTTTTTCAACAAGGGTTGTGTAGGTTGTTCCTTTTACACCGCAAGAATCACATGTTTTTTGTGTCAACATTTTACTATGTCTGTATATAGAGAAAACAGCATGTGTGTGTGTGTGTGTATGTGGGAGGCAGGGGAACGAAAAAAAAAGGTCTTACCAACTAAACAAAGGGCGGGCGAGAGAGAGAGAGAGAGAGAGAGAGCATCCGCACAATCCGCGCGCGCAGCACTCACCGCAACAAAATGGAAAAGCGAATCGGAACGCAGAGAAAAAAAAAGGACGACTAAAGCTAGTAAGGGAACCTTTTTTTTTAGTTTAACAGACAGAGGGAAAAGGACGCTATGTTTCAGGTTTCGGGTTCTGGAGGTGAAGGGGCGGTCTACATTAGACGGAAATGCATGCAGTAGGTAGGGTAGGGTTGGGAAGGGGGTCGTGTGTCTGTCAGTTTGTAAGACCGAGCCTATGGTAGCAATTGGGAGGGATGCCGGACCCGCGATGTGCATGGTAAATAGCGGTTGCGGGTTGCGGTAAATGTGGGAGATCCACACACGCACACACACATACACACCTTGGGGAGGGGGGAGGAGAGGGGGGGGGATGATTTTTTTCCACATCCAAAAGGTTGGGAATTTATTATTAGGGTTTATTTGCAAGTGTACGATACTGTACGATAGGTTTCTTGGATTGCGATTGGTTGGTAAATTGCCCCCGGTCTTCGGCCGGATTATTATATTTTTGGGATATTGTGATTGGTTGCGTTTATTGGGAAAAGGAAGCGACCGAGGTCGAAGTTTCCCGGGGATGCGGATGGTTTAGTGAGGGTCAAGTTGAGTTGAGTTGAGAGTGTGAAGGGGAGTGAGTCATACATTCACATACACAGGGTACACTGACAATTGACTTTTTTTGGAGACGGGGGAAGAGTAAGTTGAATGCAGGGCCAAGATGTAGGTAGCAGCGATCAATGGAAAGTGAAGAATACGGTACAATACACAGACGCACACGACTTTTTTCCGGGAGCGAGCAAAAAAGTTCTAGTGGCTGGAGACTAGAGCGCGGGAGCGGATAGTGGAGCGTAAGCCCGGAGTCTTTCTTTACTCGTCCATTGACCGCTACAGCCTCACCTTTTGCATTGTGCAGCCACAATATCGCGATTGCAACCAGCCCCGGGGGGAAACGTGGATGGCTACGAAGCATCCTCTTCAGTCACTGGGCTTGGTGGAGAGCATGGAAATAGATGTGATTGATTTCTTGTGCAGCAGGATTGTGATGATGTGTTCCGGTCAAGACAGGGCCGTTGTCTCAGGGTAGAGAGCAAAGTGGGCAGATGCGAGGATAGTCGAGGTGGAGCCCCACTGTCGAGAGTGGCTCTGGGCTAGAAAGTAGAGTTTGTTGGGGTGGCTTTGAATTACGCGTGCCACAGTAGGCGCCGCAATAGAGAGGGAGAACGGGGAAGGCAAAGAAAACAGAGTTGCGGATCAGCCGCGGCAGTCGAGAGCAGATGCAGCATCTGTGCTTGTCATGCACGTCGGCTCCCACAGTGGGGTTGGTTGCTGTGGCATTGAGAGAGAGCTTTGCTATTTCTGAGAGGGCGCGCGTCGGGATTGGCGTGACACGGGAGTTTTGGATGTACTTGGATATGTACGTACATGTGTAGTCTGGTTGGGGGGGGGGCAGGAGGGGAGGGATTGCATGAATTAGGTTGGCCGCGATAGGCGGCACACAGAGCACAAGTTGGCAGTAGCAAAGGTGTTAAAGTATGGTCTTGATGAGGTCTTTGCAACGAGAAAAAAATGTAATTTTGGAGAGTGCATTGATTGTCACGGGCATAAGTTGGCAGTAGTGGACGGGCGAAGTTGGCCGGGGGAGCAGAAAACGGCGGGCTGGTGGGCAGGCATGTTGCAAGTGGGAGTAGAGTGGACGAAGAATGACGCACAGAGGGACATGCAACAGGCAGGCGGGAACCCAGGGGCACGGTAATGCGAGCAGCAGTCGGTACAAGGACGGGCTAGAGCTGCCGTGTTTGTCGCGTCCTGGCTCACACAAAGGCCGATTGCAGGCAGATGGAGTGACGATGGGGTGGTAGCGTCGACGAGAGAGGGAGTGGGCAGAGGGCGGGTTAGACAGGGAAGCCTGGTGCGGGCAGGGAGCGGTGAGATGACTCGTGCACAGGTGGGAGAGACGAGGTGAGAGGCGGAAGCTGGACAGATGACACCATGACCTCGAGGGCTAGAGGGCCGGGGGAGGGCCAAGCCAGGCTCACGAAACAGACGAGAGGGCACGTCGGGTGACGGGCGAGGGCGCAAGCGGCGGGTGTGGTTGGATGGAAGGATGGGGCGTGGGCAGTGGGCAGTGGGCATGATGATGACAGCAGCGTGTGGGTGGATAGATGGATGGATGGATGGATGGATGGAGGGGTGGGTGGCTCGCTCTGCGCGGCAGGCGGAGGAAGAGTAGCAAGTGGTATACTGCACTGTAAGTAGGTCGAGTAGGCCAAGGAAGGAGCAGCATGAACATGGTCAGCCATCTTGACTGTTTTGAGCAGAGTTTTCACGCATGCGTCGTCGATTTGATCGATACATACATACATACGATACGATACCGACATGGGATGGATACATGGTTACAGTATCTATCTACATGGGCCGGCCCGCAGAGAGGCTAGCCAGTCATGACCAACTCTGCGGCGGGCAAGTGATGGGCAGAGGATTAGCAGCAGCAGCAGCAGCAGCAGCATCAGAGCGTCGCGCGCGATATGCGTGACAGCGGGCGACAAACGGCTAAGCAGAGAGAGGATGGGACGAGACGAGAGTGGACTGGACTGCATGGCTGCACGGCTGCACTCTGTCTGCTGCACCAGACTCTGGCGGGCAGCCGGCAAACACTGGCTAATGGCTGCGGGCGGCCCTCAGCTAAGAGGCGCCAGGGAAGGCTGCTGCAATGATGCATCCATACCCGACGCTATTGGGGCGTCGTATCCCACACCCTGGCCCGCGCCGTGCCCAGATGCCTCCCATGCACACCCCGCCCGCCCACTACCCACCAGCTTTAAGTCCGCGCTCCCGCCCTTCACCCAGAGTCCACCGCTGCAACTACCATCACCACCACTGCACCTCTGTCTGCCCGCCTGCCCGCCTGCCGCTACCACTGCACGCCAGGCCCAGCTTCTCTGCCTTTGCAACATTGCCATCAACCATCAACCTCAGTGCAGCGCGCTGACAAGTCCTGTTGCGGCCCCCAGCCATTTGCAGCTTGCCTAATCCAGCGGCCCACACCGCCACTCCCCCCGCCCACACCGGTACTTTGCTACTGGTACCATACATAGAGCCCGCCATGGACCACTCCTACTCAGCCTCCCAAAATCACATGGACTTCCACTCCCTCGACCGGAAACCTTCGGCCTTTTCCTTTGACGACAACGCTACCCTCGACTCTACCATCCTCGACACACCCGTCCTCATGTCGCCCTCGACCAGCAACCAGGGCATCTTCTCGCCAGAGACGTCCATCTGGGAGGACTTTTCGGCTTCACAGTTTGTCGACCGCACAGCCACCAGCTCCGTTGTCAACACAAACGGCAACAACCCCTTCTTCACAGAGCAGAGCAACAACCCCTTTGCTCGCCTACCCCCCAACCAGGCCGCCACATACGGCCAACAGTCATGGCCCGTTGCCGACAACTCTGGCTCAAGGACACCCACTGCCCCCAAGCCCCTCAACCCTTTTGGTCCTGGTGACTTTGGTGCCGCTTCCTTTGTCGACCAGCCCCAGATGCCCTTCCACGGACTCCCCGTGCACCAGAACGTCCGCCCCAGTGCCGTCTTCCAGGCCGCACCAGAGCAGCCCATGTCCCCCCACACCCACTCCGACTGGATGGCCTTCAACCAGCAAGAGATGGACTCCCGCCCAGGCCCCAAGCGCATGCGACCAAACACGCCTCCCCGCTCCTTCTCTCCCCGTCGTGACGGCGGCATCCGCAAGAAGAATGCTCGCTTCGACATCCCCGCCGAGCGCAACCTGCACAACATCGACACCCTGATCCAAGGCTGCACCAACGAAGAAGACCTCAAGGAGCTCAAGCAGCAAAAACGCCTCCTCCGCAACAGACAGGCTGCGTACGTACTACCGCCTTTTGGTTCTTGGCTCCACGCTCCATGTTTGGTCCAATTTACCTCTTGGTCTATACTCTCCATGTTTCATCCGCTGACCTAATCACAGACTTGACTCGCGGCAACGCAAGAAGAAGCACACTGAGGAGCTCGAGGAGGAGAAGAAGCAGTGGATGGAGAAGATTTGCCAGATGCAAGATGACTTCGCTGCCATGCGCCTCGAGTATGATGCCCTTGTTGCCGAGAAGGAGAACTGGCACCGTGAGTCCATGGAGATGCACCACATGGTCAACCAACTCCAGTTCGACAAGGAGGAGCTTGTCCGCACCCACACCATTGAGACGAGCGAGCTGCGCAAGAAGGTCTCCGTCCTCACTGAGCGCCTTGAGGCTGCTACTGGCAACGGCATGGCCGTCGCCCCCAGCACCACCTTCACTGACTTTGCCTCGGAGATGGACAACCTCAACATGGGCAACAGCGACTGGGACAACTACATCTTCGTCAACGACTTTGCCTCTGACGACCAGCCCACTCCCCAGCAGAACCAGGAAGTGTCTCTTGTCTCGCGCACAAAGGACGAGGACAAGCCCGTCGCTTCTGGCCTCTTGCTCATGCTCCTGCTCTGCGGCGCCTTTGTTGCTAGCAAGTCTGGCACTGCCGCTCCTCCTATTCCCCGCATGCCCGACGAGGTCCGCGCTGCCTCTGCCACCGTCCTGGACAGCATCTTCAAGGACGCTGGTGTCGCAAACGGCCTGAGCGAGCAGAGCCTCCTTGCCACCCACGTTGCCGGTCTCGAGCCTACGCCATCTGGCATGGCCTGGCCCAAGACCACCATGTCTGGCTCGGAGCTTGCTGGTATCTCTGGCTCTAGCCTAGACCAGCTGCACTCTCACCTCACTGGCACCACCAAGGACCAGGAGCACGAGCAGCTCTTCTCCATCACTCCCGACCAGTACAACAGCATGACCTCCCTTGACTTTACCCGCTCGCGATACAGCGTCACGAGCGACGACCTCTCTGACCCACTCTCGCCCGGCGCCCAGCCTTCGCACCGTCGCAACCTTGCCGAGACTCTCGCCGCCATGCGTGAGCAGAACAAGGGCGACTCTGCGGCTGAGATCTACACGCGTAGTCTGCTTTGGGACAAGATTGCCCCCGAGGTCGTCCACGAGTTCAAGCGCATTGTCGAGGAGTCTGCTGCCATGTCACGGCCTAGCACTTCTGAGGGCACAAAGGTCGAGAACCTTGGCTAAGTAGCCCCACCTGGCCATCCACCCACACGCCACTACATACCACCACATACACACACCACCACCACACTTGGACACACCAACCCACCTTTCCTTTGTTAGTTTCCTAAGTTGCATTAGTCCTTTTCACCAGCATAGCGATTCACTTCTTCCCCCTTGGACAAGGGGCTCTCGTAGGGACACAAGTTGCATCACGGTCTGGCTGAGATACCCGTTGTTTACACGGGCATCGCCATTTCTTTTCTCAACGCTCTGGCCTTGCCAGTCTTCTATACAATGGGACGGCAACGTCGATTTTGGGTACCTTGTTGCCTGCATCGCTTGAGCATGGCGGTTGTTTCTTCATGTCGAGACCTGGTTCACGACTCCATCCATACTGGTTTTTTTTGGTTTTTTTTCACTCTTATTTCCTATTCCTATTTCCTTGTGTTTGTCATGTCCTTTGCTCCGAAACATTCGAGATTGGCCTTGATTTTTGTCTGATGTATCTATTTTGCACAGCGTAGCGAGCGTTGAGATTTTCCTTTTACGTTTACCACGAAGATTGAGAATTTGGCAACGAAGGATATGGGAACATGTATCGACGAGCATGATCAATGACGATTTGTACATGACGGCAGACGAAGCGAAGAAAGATATCTATTACGCATTCACACTTGTTTTGTTCTATTGTTGCTTGTCTTGTCTGTTCTTGTTTGATGTTTTGTTGGCGAGCGATGCGACGAGGGCATGAACAAATTTGGTTATGATTCTTGTTTTTTCCTGAAAGAGACGAGGCCTGTTTTTCTTCCTGCATACCCCTCATCTTCCTGCATCCACACGCACATCTGCTTACCCCCCCATGACTTACCCTTTACGACTGTTACGGCCCCCTCCTACGATAGACCTTTCGGTCTTGTTTTTTTCTCTCTTCCTTTCACAATACCCTCTTACCGCTCTTTCCCCCGACGTTTGTTCGGGGAAACGGACGAGATTCCCCCTTGAGATACCAGCTTTCTTTGGCCATTTGGTTTTTCTCGTTTTTTGCAGCGGCCGTTTCTGCGGCCCGTGGTCACAGATTGTGCGTGTGCCGAGCTTCATTGGCTGAGGGCGGAGCCGGACGCAACATCCTTTTTTGTACCTAGGTCATCGACCGCGCCTTCTTGATTGCCCCATTGGCGGGCAACCAAGGCATGGCCGAGTCAGTTCTTAATGCTATCAGACGCTTCTTGCACTCTACCAAGCGCTTATGTCGCCGTGATACGGAACCGGCCATGCACACACACACACTTTGTCTCGCTCGGTCACTCTCTCTGCCTCGCTCCATCGGGCGTACCATGTCCATGACCTAAAAACACACCATTATTGTGGGCTTCAACTTGACTGGTTCCCCACCATCGTCACCGGCCGAGTAGAGTGAGACATTCTGAAACCATGCCGTCTTACCGTTTCCCACCATTGCTGACTTTGTGCGTTGTTATTGCATACCGTATGTTCACTCTTGCGTTATTCTCTCTCAGCTTCTCGCTCTGCTTGACCCTCCACCGAAGATAGCACCGAAACAACTAACACACACACAGATACATACGCATACATACATCCATACTGCGCACGATGCATGCGAGGCAAAAAAAACGCACGGCCGATCTCCATTTTTCGGGGTCCTGTCACTGATGACTGCGGGTTAGACGTACCTCGCATCGCATGAAGCGGGAAGGGAGGATTAACATCGACCCACTCCGTTCTTCTCTTGACAGTCAAACTAGGTGTAGATGTACCATGTGCTGCAAGCGATACAGCCGCACTTTCCACTGCAACAACAAGGGCCCACAACTTGCCGGCCGAGCTGCACGCCTTGCATGTACTATACCGTACTCTTGCTGTATGTACAACATCTACCGCTTGTCGCGAAGCTGTGGATTCACACTTCACACTATACGGCTTCATACTCTATGGGGCAGTGATGGGATCCTCGATCATGATCGGGTGGCTCAGAGCACCCACGACGACGTGACCGAGGCGCAGCATGCGCAGCTGATGCCACAAGCCGCGCAAGCACACATCTGATCACTGACTCGATTAACTTTGCACATCTCCCGGCTGTACTTGCTCTATGTATTACACTGTACCAGAGAAATCGATGGTAACGAAAAAAAGCAATAAGTCTGGTAAGAAAGTCTGGTACATCCTAGGCATGTCACAAAAGAAAAAACGTCCTGCGGATCCCCCCACAAACCCTAATCCCACTCACTACCTTGCCCTCCACGCATGACGTGCGTGATT